CTACAAAATGTACTCTTAATAGTACGAGGAACTTAAGTTTCCTAAAATAGTTTTTAATGGTTTTATTAATTAATACCTTTTCCATTTTACATTTTAGATATTTTACTACGCAATTAAAAGGCCTAGTAAAATACCAAACATAAAGAGTTGATCTAGTTCTATTAATAGAACTATATTGACTTTCCAACTTTATTTATATCTGAATACTTCGGTAGCGAGATGGCTCAACCGAATATAGGTTTCTAGGGACTATTAACGTTACCTAGTTGATCCTCCGATCAGCCAACCAGAATTGCCAGTCTGATGAAGGCTAAGTCGGTAATTCTTGATAGTGGCAAGTTATTGGTTAAGACAATAACTAAGGACGTCAAGAGTATTTTCTTTTTTTAGATTTTGTTTCTTTTATATCTATTTTTTGTAAAGATAGGATTTTATGAGTCTCTCGGATTCGCCCCAGTGAATCATACCCTAGTTTCTAATAGAGCGACAACGAAACACTAAATAAAATCCCTTCGGCGGAAACAGTACTGAGAGGATTATATATAGGCAATGTCTCAGCCTCACAATCCCTCAGAGTATTGCTGTTTTCACGAGGCATACCTAACTTTATTAAACGTCTCATTTCGTTTATTTACTTCGATATTTACACGATACTTAGAATTTACCTACGCATTTATTTGTTCTAAGGCATTAGTATCGCCTTATTATACCGAGTCTTACACAGTCGGCAGTGAGTATTGTTTTTATTTCAGCTGTACCGTTGGCGACGATGTGTGGTTCGATGCAGTTCAGTTGGCATATAAAGGCCAAACAATTCAGCAAGCGTTAGTTTTAAATATGAACTATGTGTTACTTGTATATGCCACTGTGAACGGTATCATATATCAAGTATTAATCAGAGTTCATTTAGGAGTATTTATTGCTTACAAAAGTGCTTTACACAGATATGATGCTGTATTAGAATGGGCCTATTTGGGAAAGGAGTGCCCTAAGTTCTTCAGTGATCATGATAAGCTAATAGTGAACTTGCATCTACCACTCTGGTTGGCCATACGTAAGCATGTTTCAGACCACAGTGTGATGTATCCGCTTCGAGATATCAAGTCGGGTATAGCTAAATTGTACAGTATTATGAACCCAGGTGTAGACAAGAACACCCAGAACGTAGAATAGTTGAAATCCACCAATAGTCAGATGAAGTTTCAACAGCGGTTAGTGGCTAGAGTTTTTGAGCAGTTATTCGATAATATTTCATAGCCATCAGAACTCAGTGGTGCTATAATGAAGACCGAAGTGATGATATTTAAAAAATATCAATTCTTTTAGAAAGAAATGCTCTATACAGTTGCCATTAACCAAGTTTGTTGAGCTTGCATGTGGTAGTTTAATAGGAATCGCTGCAAAAGAATGCGTACGCTTTATTGAAGGCGTTATGGCCGAGAAACGACGTATGTTGGAAAAGGTACAGGTAGAACACAATGTCGTGCCTGTACGTAGACCTGTAAGTGCTATATCGCTTGAAGAAGTCAAGAAGCTTGTCACCGCTCTCAAGTCCTATAAGGTAGGCTATAAGTTCTGTAAAAAATCCAGTTTTAAATGATTTAAGACTAGATGGTGGCGACCATAGTGCAGGAATAGTAGATATTGCAGGTGCAGCCGTTACCCGGAAGCACGGAGTGATACCACGCAAACTATACCGTAGATGTGTTGTTGTGCGTTGTCAAAATATCACTGTACACCAAGGCATCAGATGTCAAGTGCGACTGTGTTATAAAGTGATTCCAGGAAGAACAAGAACATGTTTTTCATTGTTCCACCATGAAAGCTTTACTGGGGAAATGGATGCCTCTTCGCGGAGTAGCAGAAGTGCAAGTATATCAAAGGATACCGGTGCGGGACGATGAAGACGACTCTGATAAGGACCTCGACGGTAGTATAGGAGACGACAATGACGACACAAAATAAATAAATGAAAAGAACCGCGGGTGCATCTGGTTGCCGCGGACTGCAGTGGGCGGGGTGGGGCCCACTGCAACTACAACAGTAACCGTGTTGTAACTAAACAATACATAAATATTAAACAAAACATAATGTAATGAGTAGTACATAATGCACCCTATAAGCCTATTTAACCCTACAACCCAGTATGTTTTCAAAAATAAATTGTGCGTTTTCAAAAATAAATTATATTTTAAAATATTTTTATTGAAATAAATAGGTGGCAATTTAATTTTCTTTGACCGACTTCACTTATGAGAGTCTCTTTTGGAACGGTTTTACTCATTTCGGTCCTATTTATTATGGCTTCATGTCCAAATGGACGAGTAAATCAAAAAGATAAAATAGAATATAAATTTATTTCCTGAATTTTAAGGGACTAAAACGGGTCTGATCGAAATTAGGAATTAGAAATCCTACGATTCGTAGGATTTTAGGCTGGGTACCCCTTCCTAGTACATTTTTTTTTTGACGCCTTTTGGCTGCTTTTGTTTGATTCTACGATTCGTAGGATTTTCCAGTTGTGCTAGTGATATACGTACTATTTTTGAAACACAAATCCTTTTTGATGAATGAGTTGTTGTAAATTGATATTGTAAACTAAACACAACAAAGATTTCAATGAAACAGGCATATCATTCGCACAGGAATGTCCATAGTTGCTCAGTCTTGAAATTACAAAATAATATACAAAGCTGTACTAAGAGTATTCTAGTTTTAGGCCACATCGTATAGTGGTGATCATACATGTACTTGTGGTGGCACAAACTGTCATTACGACATACACAATCTAGAGCATTAACTTCAATTAGTTAAAAAATCAAAAGTAAAACGATAAATACCCAAATTAATTACAGATTTCGATATTATTACGCTATCTTCTTTCTATTGGAATTCATGTTTAACTATAAGAATTATTATCTCACTATACTCCCAATCCGTGAGGTCTTATATATTTAGTGTTGCGTAGATATATACACCGCAATATTGCTATCGACTAGTGAAATCCACTCAAACTGCAGCATTGGCAGCGATTGCCATTTATTTCTAACATCCTTCTTTTCAGACATTATATACATAAATATGCATACACAGATTGTTTTTACATTATGTGTCACAAATTCCCGGGTGTACTAGAATTTATTTATTCGTACTATATTCCCTATGCTTGATTGACCTTGTCTTCTTTGTGGTGAGCCGAGATCAGATCTTCAAGCTTGGCTTTGTTAGCGCCCTTGACCTCCTGCATATCCCAGAAAATGAAAAAAAATAGAACAAATTAGTTGCCTAAACAATACTCCTCAAATAAAATTGCGCGAACAAACACCAAATGCCCTCGGACTTTGTTAATTTAAAAAGGTATGAAAGGTCTCATGAAAACCATTTCCAATTGCCGAAGCTCAGAATTGTACTACAAATTTTGTCTAATACGCGCACATTGTATACGATTCCACCAAGAATCGACGTACGACTTGAAGAACACATCACAGATGTGAGAAATAAAACATCAGACGCTGTCTCTTCCGACAATCCACATATTGTCAGCTTCCAATGTTTACCTCATACAAAGGCAAATGTATGATATATCTCTACATAAAAATATAGACAAGCATGCGGAAGCACAATGAAAACTCATTTATACAACTAAACACGACGTAGAAATATTCACACACAAAAAAACATACCGCAACTTTCTTGCCGTCTCTGTAGAACTGGAATGTGGGCATGGCAGTGATACCACACTCTCCTGCCAACTCCTCAAGCTCATCCACGTCGACCTTGATAAAGTCAACGTCCGCGAACTTGGCATCCAATTCCTCTAGGAAAGGTGCAATCATCTTGCAGGGACCACACCAGACGGCGAAGAAGTCTACAATAGTCTGTAGGAAACAAAACATGACAGCATAGGATGGAAGCGAAAGGTGAGTGGCGATGAAATTTTGACTAGCACTGGGTGGTGTAATCGCCGAGATAAACGCACGGTAATAAGACTATCGACAATGTACTATACTACGAATGTCAACTCATAATGAATGACCGGACCGAACTGCAAAACATAGATGTTAATTTAAGTATTAAACACAATATATATATATATATATATAACATTCCGATACAACAAAATGAAGAAGTGCACGCGGCCAAAAAGACTCGATCAAAATCGCATAATAGACTGCATTCTAACCAGTCAAGTACACCCACATAAACCCAATTTATTACATATTGAGCTTGAAGACATGATCAAAAGCGTGTACGATCACAATTTATAGTCGCTTCTCAGCTACCATAACTGCGTACTAATATTAAATGTACACAAAAGCAAAAACTATAACTCGGGTAACTCAGCTGCTAGGTAAAATTACCACCAGTAACGATAGAACAGGTCACTTAGATTCCAGGTGGAATTTACACCACAAAGCGCAACATGATATTGCAGTCTCGCAATTGCTATTGAAAGATAATCTTATCAGGACTAATACAGCCCACGTATATAGTGGATTAACATAACCACACATCCGAACAAACCAAATGAAAAATCGTTTTTGGATATATATACGAGTAAACATGCCATAATGATTACGTGCTCATAGAACATGCAAATACTTTTAATAAGCTGCAGGCGATATATATATATATACATATTTATATATATATATATATATATATACTATTCGACAGTACCCTGACTTCGTATTAGTGCTAATACGACACAACGCACAATATCTCCGTGCAACAGTGACAGCACCGGCAAAATTCATCCGTGCAAATTGAACAATCGTGGAAACAAATCCAATGGATATCACCCGTTGCATTAATTAACTAGTCGTCTTTACTGATATACGTATACGATCCAAACATGGGTTACCATGCCTACGAAATAGCGCTGTCGAAACTATATTTCACAATACTTACCAGGATTGCAACGGCAAAAACAATTAACCCGTCATATATGACTACAAAACACACCATTATGAATACACACATAGACGGGGTCCAAGAGAGCAAGTATAAGATATGTACAACATACCTCGAATAGTAAACATTAACATGACAACTATTACAGAGTCCAAAAAAAGCGAGCGCACAGCACAAAACTATACCCAGCGTGTGACTGACTACATCCACCCATGCGCGCACGCAGATCGTATCCACACGAGCGTGCACGCGATTTTATACTAAACTCACCAGTTTGAGCAGACCAGTCTGTTGGTAAAACTCTTCCTTGGATTCTACTTTTCTCACCATGATTGTATATGTAGGTTGGTCTTTAACTGGAAATAGTATATACTGATTCGTGGACCGTTCTACAACCTCTTTTATATGATGCACTTCGTCGTGTTTGTATGTATGGTAATGATGTAAATATATATGTCCAACTCTCCAGGTTCCAGGACCAGCGGGCAGCCGGGCAGCAGTCCTTCCCTCCCTTCTCCTCTCTCTCTTGCTTGCATCTTGCAATGCAATATTGAAAGTAATTACGTATATAAATAACGTAAATTTCCTTCATTAGCGGTGCCGAAGACAACGTCTACGTATTTTCATTTGACGAGTACATATACAGTCCCCGGAATTTTCATGTATATCATTTTGTTGGGATGCATATTTGATTTGTCCAGTACGATTTTTACGGTTTCCTATACAGTTTCCATTTATGCTGTTTGTTTCCTTTGATTTGATTGCGTAAAAGTCGTCAGGTCAACTAAATGGGACTTTGTCCAGGTTCCAGAACTTAGTGTGATTTGCCATGAATAGTTCACCTTATTTGTTGTCCACTTCTCTTCATACTCTAACTCCATTGACTATATTTGTGAACCGGATTATTTTTTTTGCACAAAACCCTAAAAGTGACTATAGTCCAAAGTACATAGTATCACGTGAGAATATAGGTAGTATCGAAAGGTTATAGTGTGAGCGTCAATATTCGATATTATCGAGCATGAGATTATAGGTGAATCCGTGAGATCATAGAGTGAGTGTCATAATGCATGATGAGAGGATGATGACGAGGAAATATGATAAGGAATATGATACGTAAATACATGGAAGGTATTTATTTATTTTGAAATATGTATGTGTACATTCTGTGGTAAGGATGTACGAATGTTTAATTTAGAAGGCTATGGACGAATGTACGTATAATTTACGCATAAGATTTCTCATCTATTACTGACGAACACAAATTCATAAATATATTGTATGTATCTGCACTTGAATTTAATTGTAATAGTTTAGATTAGAGATTAGTTAATTATAGTATCACGTTACAAGTATCGAAGAAGGAGATTACATTGTTATAATTGGTTATAGACAAGTTGTACGAGAAATTTCTGATTCAACTGAAACCTAAAGTCAACGTTCACTCCCTACTGTCGGCTCACGAATAGCTCACTACCATTCCAAGTCAGTCAAAGGTATAGACGTGTATACATAAAATTATATTTACATTTGCATATATTTTATATATGTATGTATATTTATTCGTAGACATCGCGAATAATACGAATACAGTTATCTAGGATTGCAATAAGCTTTTCTTGCATGTTCACAATGTGCGTGGTGAATATTGTATTTTCCACTCAAGTGTGGACAGCGGAATAAGCGTACACAAATCTCATACTTTTTTTGCACATTAGAAATGGATGTTCACAATGGTATGCGGTGATTCTTGTATTCGCCACTGATGTGTGAACAGCGGAATTAACGGACACAGAACTCATACATATGCACATCAAATCGGATGTTTGTACCCAGGAATCACACGATGTACATAAAAATAATACGTACGAACACAAAAAAAATACTTGTGTAAACATAATTATCGTATTCATGTTAAGTACAAACTGGATGTATGTGTATTATGCTCGAACAAGTGCACAAGTATCATTTGTGTGTAGATGTACGTGCACAGAAATCGTACTTATACATAAATTGTACGTAGCAATTATGAATCGATTCAGTCCGTATACCACGTCTGGCTATTCTGTAATTCAAGAGTAGGAGTTGGCTTATATTTAGATTTCAAGCATAACGTTCCTGTACAAGACTGGTGACATGCAAGACAACCAATGTACTCAAATTACGAGCTATCGCATATTCTGAGCAAATATTCCTCCGTTGTTTAGTGACTGTCTTCTCCTCACCACCACGCTGCCAACAAGGCCCACACACACGCGCGCATTTAAAAAAAACACACACACACACGCACACTCACACAAACTCTCTCTATCATACACACACATTTAAACACGAATATCTGTACGCACATACGCATATGTGTGTACACACACACACGTGCACATACACACACACATATATATATATATATATATATATATATATATATATATATATATATATATATATATAGTATAGTAAGTAAGTAAAGTAATATATATATATATATATATATATATATATATATATATATATATATATATATATATATATATATATA